ATGTATAATTTTGTGCAGGGTGAGTATTGCGTCTTTGATATAATGATGGTAGTTGTTGTGTAGTTCTCTGAGGGCTAAATATGGCAAAAAATTATTGAAGGGTTACTTGTAATTGTCGAAATCGTCGTACTTTGCGAGTCGCCGGAGCGACTTTTTGTCTGCCTTTCAATGCGAGTAAGAGTTCCATAGATGTAATTTCAATTATGCGGTAGCTTAGGCTGATAGCCTAGTGGGTAACGTATTTGCCTGCTAATCCTACGAGCAGATTGTGGTCTAGGCTTGAATCCAAGTATAGACATACTTCGTTTTGTGCTGGAAAGCAGCCTTCTGATGGAATGCTTAACGACGATATCGGACCTAAAGCTCGAAATATAGAACTTAAAGTGCCATCTATTGTAAGTTTATTATAGTGGATATAATAGCGGTGAGATACGATATTTTAAATTCCAAACATGCGTGCCTGCATAAGTAATATATGTTAAAAGTTGGAAGTTTAGAACATTTAGCCAAATTGTTAGGTGCAAATCGGAAAAATTATATGGCCAAAGTGAGGACTTAGGAAGGCAGGGAAATGTTAGAACTTCTACAGCGTAGCTCTAGTGGGTTTAAATAGTTGTAGTTTTTTTTCTTAATTTATCGAAATGTCGTACATAGAAAACACTTGTAGGCCACCTTATGACGACGAAGTAGATGAACAACGGCTAGATTTTTCCCTAGAATTTTTTGATCCTCCTTGAAGCTTTATGGAACGTCCTTTGTCCCCCTTGACAAAACTCACCACTTCTACTTCGTTGCCCTTACCCACCGCGCTCACTGACCGTAGAGCACCTATATCCATTGGTAGCCCGTTTCAAGGTAGCCGCCCGGTAGTAAGCCATGCCAAAGTCTAGGTATTGGCGGCAGTGCGCTCTTGATGAAATGACTTGGCGTGCCGTTCATCCATAGATCACCCACCTAGGCGCAACCTTCTCTTCGGCTGCTAGCAAACAGTGGCAATAGCTGTGGTGACTACAGCAGTTCGATGACTACAGCGTCTGTGTGTCGGGAAGTGACGCGAGCAGCTAGCGCCGGGATAGACGAACCTTAGGCAAACTCTTGAGGCCGTGGCTGGGGGCGCTTTGTCTAGCAAGATCCTGCACAAAAACCTGCCTTCTTACACACGCAAAGATACATTCACAAAGGCAGGACACATGCACTCACGAAGAGGCACAGAGGCAACTAGGCAGCCAGAGCTGCGTTGTCTCTTGGCAGCATTTTCTATCCTGCTTGCCCCTTCTCGTCCTTTCGTTCGCTCCACGGCTCGCGCTCGCACTCAATCTGTTTACCTCTGACTCACTATACTTCGTTGTACTTTTGTCTCGTTTATTGGTGATATATCGTCAAAAGTAAAGAGGAAAGCGCTTTCGGCAGTGGCGATCGTGGCAAAAAAGCTTTAAGGTTGTAACTATAGCAGGTTGCCTTTTCCGTGGCTTTTATAGTATAGTACGATAATATGACAGTAGTACCGGTAAGGTTATTGGCGACGATACAGCAGTGCTAAAATGTTTGCCAGCAAGTATTAGGGACATGTGGTCGTCTAGGTTCAAAACCGGACGTAGATACGCTTTATTTTGTTCTGAAAGAAGACAGCCGCTCGAATCAATACTTAAGGACAGCATCAGACGAGAAACTCGAAACATTTCTTGACTGGCGGTGTTTTTTTAGGGTTGTGTTTGGCTGAGTTGACTGTTGAGAAATTTACCAGCAGAAAAGATCGAAAGAGAAAGTTTTGTTGATGGTTTTGACCAGTACGAGTGTTCAACGGTACTGTCCAATGTCATCGTTTACTGATGGCAACGATGACGACGAGGTCTCTTAGCGTACGACAGCTGTCCAGCTTATTCATGCCAATCAGCAGTATGTGAGCTAACCCGGAAAGCATCGGCGAGGATCGTGCTTGGGAACAAGATCCCCCTGGAACACTGGCTGGTCTGTGACCACTTACTTACTCACAGGGCAGACGCGTTCGACGGAAAGCTTTGTGAGGTGTCGAGCATACCGTGTAGAGCGATGTATCCACACTCGCTCGACGTAAAGTTAGGAAGGCCTCACAGCTCCGGTGCGTTCGCCTCATTCAGTGAAGCGGAGCGGCACGAGCACTTACCACTGATATTGCCATCGCTTTAACGAAGCTTTCTTTTTTTTTACCTTCTTCATTCTCAACCGGCGATAGGTGGAAGGGCTATACATATAGGGAGGGCTATGGTTCAGTGGGGGCCTCGCTGGCTGAAGTGCGCTAAAAGATATAGGATGCTGCGCCTCGCTAGTACAGAGGCTATGCGGTAAAAAAAATGGTGTTGCGTCAGCAGGATATCTATTCTACGATGCTATAATTAGGGTATATACTTTCCTTCACATTCGAAAATCTATTTAGCGTCACTTCAGGAAATGTTATACGGAACACAGCTTGAATGTACAACCTGAAATAAATACACCTTGGGTTGTGTAAGCAAGCAATGTGAGCCGAACAGCCAAGAATATCTAGAGTTCCATATGAAGTAATTCAAATAGTATGTGAGCACACTGTGAGCATGATGTAAACCTTCGTTTATTTTTTCTAAAATTAAATGCCTATTTTATTTTACCTATTACAGGCATTTGCGACTCACTAACAATATATATGCCGTTGCCGACTGTCAACAATTCTCAATCTAAATTGAACTTTTCCCCCCCGTACTGCGCTAAAATCATATTAAATGGCTAACTTTTTGCAACAGTATGGAACAGACCCATCCAAGGTTTCAACCCAATATTCATGTATATACAAGGCCCCGCTACGGCCGTCTCGTTGACTTGCTGATACTGCAGGCATGATCTATTACCTACTTACGTAGTAATCTATCTAAACAAAAAAAAACCGATATTCTTTCCCATTGTTCTGTTTTCTTATCCATATAGACTATTATGTATTTATTTGTCAACGATCTCGTTTATATAATTGAATTATTTATTCATTAGTCACCATCATCGTCATTCGATCATTGTTGTTGTTGTTGTTATTGTCAATGGAAACTTTTATTGGTTTTACCTTTTTTTTTTTTGTATTCTGTCGGGTCCGTTCGATGCCTCTTCATTATCTCTCATTGTTGTTATCACCTTAATTATTCGTTCGATTTTCTTTTTTATTGTTATTTATTTCTGCCGCTGTTACAGTTATCACTATCGGTGTTATTAGTCTTCTATTATTTGACACTCGTTATTTAATTTTCTACTCCTTGTCGAATTTTCATTGGTTATCTATTTTGTAATTGATTTCGTAGACTTTTCTCACAGGAACAGCCATCCCTCGAAAACTTCTCGTCCGTATCCTTCCGTCCGACTGAATTCGGCTTCCACTCGTATAGCGTCAAAGAAACGTATTAACGAGCCTGGCAATGCAAATAATCCGACAAATAGTGATAATAATTTGAAGAATTGGTAGCGCTCACACCCGGCTTAGGGCGTATAACGAGTCCAGTTTGATTTGCTGCCAGCCTAAGAGAGCAATTTACTTTAGAAATGATGTTCTGCTACGTTTTAAAGAGATTTTTTTTCATCACTCGTTACTTTGTTCTTCTTTAATAGTTCAAGTTTTTTCTAATATACACCACTGTGCGAATTATTCCTCTATGTGATTCGCGCTTTGTTTTCCACATGTTTTTCCCTTTATTGTAAATCGCCATGCCTCCAACGTGATCATAATATAGATATTGTAATATTTCATCATCTTCTTGTCTTCAGTGATGTCCTTGTTTTTGATCGGTGTTCTTACGGGTCGCCGACCGCGAACATTTCTATTGCTTTGTCTTTTTTCCAGTGTCAGAATGGAGAAACGTTCGAGGCTCTGTCACGACCGACGTCATTGGCAGAATTAAGAAATAATAAAGAACTAGTCACAGCGGATCTAAATCAGATTTCATAATATCGTTGAAATAAATTCCGGTTGGTTCCACGATTGATTATGCCAGCTTTGTGGGTATGATTTAACCAAGCTACACTGTTACAGCTATCACCGACAGTCGCGTTACTCTCAGATAATCCGGCAGCCATTGAACAGGAGTCCCGATCGCTTGATAACCGCTGGACCTAACGGAGTTATCCGATTGACTGGTCCGCGTGATTCGTCCAGTGTCCATTTATCCTCTTTAAAGTTTGCACTCCTTTTTACTTTATCGCATTGCCCAACGTCACCTATCACTCGAACCATCAGCTATATACAGTAGCCTTGTCAAAACTATAAACAAAGGGCGGTCTAATTCCGCCATACCTAGAGATGGATTCGTGGATCGCATTTGTGGCCTGAGAGCAGCCAGGACAACGATATGGGCCTGCCCGTTTTTCTTAGTCTCTACTATATTACACTGGTCGGCCTTCATTCGGAGTTTTTTTTTTCAGTTTTATCTTAGCTTCAACTTTGCGTCATTTGCGTTCTTGCCGTTTTTACTTTAACAGTCGTGGTTTCTTATTGTTAAATTCCATTAGGCATAGGATCATTGTCTATACCGGTATGTATATATATATATATATACGATTATTTAGGGTGAGGCGGCTGGCGAAGATTTTGTTGATTTTCTTCATTCATTATAACTACCATTATTGTTATCATTTTTATTGTTATATTGTATCATCAATGTTTATTATCATAGTTACTTACTGCTCACTTTATCCTTTGATGCTAATATTACTTTCTCGTGTTATCATTGTAATTCCCATTTTAGACTGTTATAATTAATCGTTTATTTAGCGTTATCATACTCTGCTCGACGCTCTTCATCATTTTCTGCTTAATTTATATATCTTTATATCAATATTACCATTTATATATATATATATATATATATATATATATATATTTGTCTTTCTACGAGACCCTCTCAGGGGCTTTCGTCAACACATATAAATCTTAAACTTCACAAGTTAACCGTACCCCCCCCACCCCACCCCCACCCTCCACCCAGATGTCACGACCTAATCCTGCCAGATGCACGGATGCCTTCGATAACTATATATTATGTCAATATATCATATTAGTGTTGACTGTAATAGTCACACAGTAGAGGACCTCGGCTTTGCTTCCTGCCATCTTCCTCTCACAATGAGATTCTTCAGAGTGCTCGAGTTGTTTGAGCCGCATCGGTCTAGCCCCCTGAGATCCTCTTCGATCTTATAATAATACTTGTCCCCTAGGGAGCAGTATCGAGTAAGCATTAAAATATTTACCCGCCTCTGTATTCCCCTGTAACTATACCTTTACAGTACTCTTTCTTGCATTATTTGTATAAGCCAAAAAAATATCGGGGCCCAAGACAGTTGAGCTCGCCCCATATCAGACATTCCCAACACCAGTTCGCCCAATTTTCGTCCTTGTGTTCCATCATCGTAGCCTATTCCAGCCCAGTCTCTCTTTGTGTCTTTCGTTCCATCCCTTTCGCGCAAACCCTACCTAGCTATGTACAGCACGAAGCCATGGCGGATCATCATGTCGTCAGCGACGAAAGTCCCGAAGTCGAGGCCAAGGTTATCTCTCAGACGGTCATGTGCCGCACAAAAAAGAATCTCTCTTACAATTCCTTCATGTCAAAATGAAAAACGCCTTCCGTTTTGAACTATCACCACCTAGTCCCTGATGTCTCTTTAGAACCTGTGTGGTAAGGGTCAGCTTTCAATTCTATCTATTTATTCCTGCTTGTTTAGTTTTTCTTGCTGCCTTTGTCTGCCTCATATTTAATTGTGAATTTGAGCTACAGTCGAAGATATAGAGGGCGAGAAACCGTGCGCATGATAACTGCGGGTTCAACTTCGGATGGTATCTTGCTTCCGATAGCATTAGGTCGCTCTTTGGGCGACGTCGATATCATGTTATTGGTCGATCGATCGGAGAACGAACGTGAACGGACCGAGGGGTGGTTGCCCAATAATTCGAGAATCGAGGGTCTTATCGAGGGCATAACCAACCATTATATCATATGCTATATTCATCGGCCTCTTGGCTCGTTGTTCTATGGTTATTGATACCATGTTTTACAAAGGTCTGCGGCCAATGAAACTAGCTGGGCTTCTTGCTAGCGATACAAAGCTAATGAGCTGCCTCTAGTCGCAGTAGGTCGACCACCCGAGAAAGGCTCGAGAGAATCCTTTAACAGCGCGGCAAACTTAGGCAAAACCGTTATGGCTATACCAAATTGTTGCTAAACAATCACAACAGAAATATTATCCATAGTACCTAATCTAACTCAGTAAAGAGCCGCAATTTACCACACGTGCAAATAAGCGAGACTATCGACATATTGTAGGACGCATTAGGTTCGTGTCCGCCAACAGATTTTTGATGAGATCGAACACAATGGGCCAAGCTCAGGCCGATTTGTAAAACAAAAGTGATTGCGTCTGTACATGCTTGTCCTAGTTTCGCGAAGTAACACACGCTCAATCGATGCGGATTAAAATTCCAGTAGAAACTGCGAATTGATTTGTCGCCCGGTTACTACTATTAATTATTGGATAATTACTAATTATCCATTATACCTTGTATAAGTTTCTCACGGAGGTAACATATTTATTGCTATTCTGTGCGTTCTTGCCTGTCCGTCTGATTCCGTACGATATGGCTGCTCCTTACGTACCCTCGATAGCATGCGCACATAGAGTTTCGGTTGCTCGTGATCTTAGTCCACATTTATACTCCGTATCCTTGTTACCTCACTGATCATCGCGTAAATCGTGGCTTTTTTTTTGGTTTATTCTATTTTCTACGTGTTAGCAGGAGTAGTATTTCGCTTGTATCTTCGACCGTGACGGCAATTAAGTGGTGGATCTGTTGGTGCTCACTAGTTTCCTCTTATAATCTTTTTTCGCTTGAGTCAAATTCATCAGCTCGGTCCCATCGCCGTATGATTACAGTGAGAACCGGAAGTGCAGCTGGCCAAAGAAGAATATCGCACAACACAGCGTCACCAACGTCGTCTGCAGCGCGTCAACTGGAATCGACAAGCGTCAGTTTTTTTCTATGAGCATCTGATTGTCTAGTACGTTCCTCTATAGCCTAACAACGTGCACAAACCAGATAGGTACGTGCGTGATCAACTGAGAATCAGAGTTCTTTCCTGTAATTATACATATATATATATATATATATAACTTAGCTAACAGCTGGAAAAAGCTTTGGGAACCATCACTTTATATTTCTTTTTCTAGTTCTATATATATATATATATGTATATATATGCAAAAACTGATTAGGTACTATGTCAAACAGAGCTTTAATATGGTGTTCTATAAAGATATCTGGCAGCAAAGATTGTGAGATATTTTTTAGTTATGCCGGTGACCGTTTTCCTTATAATCTCTATAGGCGATATCAGTTCGAAAGCGTTTCTATGAAAAGTATCAAGAGAGCGGTACTATACCACCAGTCTATAATATGTACGCAAATCAGCGATATTTACTAACTACACCTCGTTTTCTATTCGTTCTCTATCGAAAAACTTTTACCCTTTCATTTTACGCCATGCTGCACAAACATCGTGGTTCTAAGCAAACAATTCACATATCTCCTCTCTATCGTATACAAGATAATGTAAAACGACTATCGAATCGGGAACTTACAAAAAGTACTATGCAACCCCGGCGTTCTGTAACAAGCACTTGGGCTCCCCGCAGCGCCCGAAGTGAGATGGAGCCCAGAAACGTACTGGCTGGCCTCATATGCAAACGCGTCGCTGCTCTGTGATACCTCCTTCATCGTTGTCGCGACACACTTTAGCTTCAGCTCGTCATTGGGAAAGTGTACAGGCTGCAGACGAAACCGCAAGCCGAGCAGGTTCCCACCATTAGGACTGGCATTGTTGTATTTTCGGAGAACGTCCTGTCGGGCCTCTTTGTCATTGACGTACCACTGAAGTTGCACGATCTGTGCCACGTCTCCGCCTCCTGAGCAGTTGACGTTCAGCTCGTCGCCCACATCGTAACGCTGCCGGGCTGTTCGAATAATAGGACTGCCCACCTCGCGCGCTTCACCTGTGAACACTGCATGGCACACAAAGGAAGAACACATATAGCAGCGGTATTTAGGAGAAGTTTCTTTTTAAACGTTGTAATTATTGTTGGCGGCCGGACATCGGCTTGGAATATGGGGCATCCGACTCGTAACGACATTCTGTATCAGCTGTAAGAGGTACGCACACTCGATTTCGTTGGCTAAAGTGTAATTGCCACATACGTTCTGCCGATCATATTGTCTCGTGCGTCACAATCGTCTTTTCTCCATCCGCTTGAGTGGACATCTCTCTCGACCTGTCCCCGGCAAAAACCCAGCATAACTAGGTAAGCCGACATCATAATTACGTTACGGTAGCAAACTACGCTTGCTGATAGCAAGTTAAGACACAAATGTATACAATAAGAAACACTAGTGCTGTATTGGAGCAAAATAAATGCCCCGACTTCTACATCGCACCCTGCTACCGTAATTGTCTAATTTAAGCAAGGGCAACTCTGATGTGTATTCATCCGAACGTGTGTATCTCTGCGTATACCTAATACTATAAAATATTATAATAATATAATTAGTGCTTGTTTTCCTGAAGAAGCACTCTTAATATTTATCGTTGTTTTCTAGTAACATACGTTAACGTATAAATTGGATCAGCAATTATTGGTTACTCAAGCGCCATGATACTAGTGTAGTCTATGGTATCCTTGACCTGTGCTAACGAGTATACGAATTCCAATTTAGCTACATGCTATTCTCTGGAGGAGTTATTTCCTGTTATAAAAAAGGCCTTGACAATATATAGCTAGACAGAACAAATTAACTTAACTAGACAAAATTAACTACGATTAATATATGTGAATCTATATATTTTCTGCAAGAATCGCTATTACTTCGATAGCACAACCACAATTTAGAATATCTATAGGCATTGTTGTATGAACATCAAATAATTATTCATAAATAGTTGGATAATCCATCACAGTCCCCAGTCTTCCTAACCAATACTTACATTACCTCTCTTGGAGCCGAGACATCTTGGAACAAACTAAGCAGTCGAAAACTAACGTATTCAGCGGTGTTAAGACATATGCGGCTGACATAAATGCACTTGGACAGTGAGATAGGATGAACGCGTCCACGTAACGGATCTCAGGAACCATCCGTGCTAGAGGTATTAGGCCCATATCGCCTCTTGTAATTTCTCAGCGTCTTTTCGTGTCTTGCTTGCGTAGCCACAACGAACCAATATGTTTGCACTGAACGGTGTTCGGGCTCGACACAATGCTGATGACATTGATAAGCCCTGCACATACATCTGGCCCTTTCTTAAGTCTGATACAATGATGCTTTTGAGCCTGCAGGGCCTACCCGCAGGCCAAGATGCCTCACACGATTGGAGCAGACAAATTAGTCGCTTTCCGTCGAGCAAAAGTAGGATAAAGGCAAAGGGAAAAGGAATATCGCTGTATTGTTTTAGCTTGAATGTAGCTTCTGGGGCGTCCGACCGCTGCCTCGTGTACAGAGAAAGAAGCGATGGGACTGTGGCTAGCTTAGCGTGCGCACACATAGCGGACCATATGCTACTAGATAATAAAATAGAGAGAAATATATTGCATGAAATATTATTACGCTGATGAAATATGGAATAAAAATAAAAAAAAATCAATGTTGTATTTGAGACGATTTATTGAAGTTGCATTCTCTATAGCGCGGTCAATGCTCCATAATACAGTAATAATAAAATGATGGAATACTTTTAAAGTAACGCAGCCATAATTGGCATCGGGCTATCGATTGTTAGCCTTTGTCGATGGCCTATGTCTGTTCACGTCATCACCAGGTCACGATTCAAGTTAACCATGTTTTGGCACAGCGTCTTGGAAAGGCCATCGTTGGACCGGTTACTTAGAGCCTTTTCAGTTTTAGTTCGTCCTTAGCTTTCGCGAAAGGCAATGCTGTCACAGAATTGACTCTGTCATCTTCTGATTTTGCTAAATCAAAAATAGAAAATTGCCTATGGTGGTAACGTAAAAAAGTTCTGAAGAATTGTATGTAACGTAGCTATGACCATTTGGCTTATAGAATACAAAGGGATGTATGCAAGCTATACTCGAATGAAGGCCTCCGTCGATCTCACGATGTACATACAAAAGAGCGCTATTGACTCATATGAATAGTCATAACAATTTGATTACTACTAGGTCTCAAATGCTACCCAAACACCATGGTTAATAAGCATGTATATATGCCGCAAAATATAAACGTGTGTGAACGACTTCGGGACCTACTATTTTTACTGTCGTTTCTATTATGATCGTCATCTATAAGCGGGCATCCAAGCGACCCGATACGTGCCTGTGTTCCTCTTAGGGTAGCGTACAGGCTGGACGCGATCTCCCATGACGAGCTCCTCGGACGTACGGCTCTCCGTCTGTAGCACGTAAGCCATGCACCTGTAGGACAAAGGATAGCGTCACGTCAAAACAGTAAAAGCGGACAATGTCAAAGATCGATATTCTAGTTATTCGGTCCGTCACGACGTATAGCTGGCATGCAATACTGCGGCATGGGAGTCATGGCACGTGATGATGCGTTTAGCCAATGTTAAAAAAGATCCGGCCAGAAGAAGGTCCCAAATAGGCCTTGAGACATTATCGTGTGACGCAGGTGTCAATGTATATTGAAAAAGCACGATACTATATAACACAAAAAGCTAGACTTTCAGAATCGATTCCGATCTTGTTTTGTTTTCCTATCCACTAAACTTAAGCTCAGCCGAATTCGCTTTAGAGGGATCTTATAGTATATTATTAATTACTCGTAGGGAAAAACAAATTCTGTATTCGTTGTTAATTCGTTGCTTTGCAGCATACATTACTATTTTTATGGTGTTTTCTCTTATTTGGCCATCAGCTCGCACGTACCTTAGCTCTAAACGCCCCCTGGCGACGTCTGTTTGTCTGATGGTGAACTGGATGTTTGAGCTGACTGACTGAAGTCCGTTGTCATGCCGAACCGCACCTGAATGGGTAATCTGGTGCAGACCCGAGGGCTGCCGATACGTACGTGGTCCAATAGCGAATTTTTCAATCCGCAGTAAAATGAAGGTAGAAAAATATGACACATTCGCAGGTCGTGGATAGCGACGCCACGTTTGCAACATCGAAATGGCGAAAAATAATAAATTAAAATTAAAAATAAATTAGAAGAAAACCATATTAGACAAATTGTTCTTTATTATACGTAAGTTGAGTTATTGTTATTTCTATGATTCTGCACAATCAGAATTTTAAGAGAGCAAGTAGGCTGTACTGTCTCGAGTGCACAGTCCTAAACAGTGCGGGCATTATATATTTTTTTTAGATTAAATAAATTATACTAAGCCATTCTTTTGGCCAAAAAGATCACAACTGTCCTATGGGGTTGTTTGTATTAACGTTTTAGTGTGGTCGTAGTAATCTTATTAAACTTTACAGCCTGCAAATGACCTCGGCCCATGTAGATACGCTGAACAAAAAAATACGAAAATAACGCGACACTCGTATAAACCTCATCGTAGCTTGTGCTATCCTGTACGTTTCTATGTCATTTGCGGCGTGTGAAGAAAAAATTCGGTGAGCAATAGGAGCTGGGAATTCCCTATATAACGTCTTGTAGAAATTCCTCTTTAGAGCAAGGATCAGGGAAAGAAGATTTCAACCACGGCCTGAGAAATGGACGCTCCCGCAAAAAGAAATATTTAAAAAATTATTTGTATGATCGCGGCGGTCGTTGGTAATATTCGTCTAGCATTAGTTTCCGTCTAATGTTTTTCATTCAATCACTACTGGAAAACTGGAAAAAAAAACTGCTAGAATTCACTCCTATGGAAATGATTATATTTTAAATACTGACGATGTTAATAATGCAACGTGTTGTATTACGTAATTGCAACGGTACGTGAAGGCAGCATACTACTATTACTATCTTTTCTCTTCTTGGTAGACCATATATAGAACCCTATAAAATCATATTTAGGAAACTGGCTAAGTGTTACAAATGCACCTGCCTAAAAAAAAAAAAAAAAAAACTAATTTCGAAATATGGATTAGGTACAAGTTACTTTTATCCTGCTATGTTTTGTCAATACCTGAAACAGGCGGGAATACTAACCGCTAAATTGTTGATATACCATCGCAACATGGCCTTCGGCCGCGAAGGTCTCGAATAGCAAGTCGCATTAACAACATCTCCCACGTGATAACTAGTCGAAAGGCCCTGAATTACTGGGCCTTCATTTGGCAACACTGAAAATTAGGCACCAATTACACACGTGGAAATTCATCTCACTGATGGGAAATCAATCTGCGTAACAAAAATGCCGGCGTACATCATGTATTTGTAGGCTTGATCTGTTTTGTAAGTAAATACTGCCCGTCTTGCAGACAAGTGAACATATGAGATGCGACTACGCAAGCCCAGTTATAAAAAGTTTCATACACATTTAATAAGTAAAAATTGAAAATGTCGTCACGAAATATAAATAACACGACTATCGACCTTTATTCGAAATATCTATTTATTTGGAGCACTGAATTGTAGGGTTTGAGCACTATGACCAACTGGTTTAGAATATAAAAGCACAGTATATTGGCTTGAAATTTACATTTGTCACAAGCTTTAAAATACCGGAAAATAGTATATTAATCGTAATTAAAAAAATACACACAAAATACTTCTCACTGTTGTTCTATAGTTTTATTTTAAACGACGGTTTTTTTTATTAAAGCACTTGCCATATTAGTTGGGACGTTTGCTGTTAGCCAGATATATTTGCGGTCAGCTGAAGTAAATGACTGATTCGAATAAGCAACCTTCAGATGCGCTAAACGCGTAAAATTTCCACAGATAACTTTTCTGTGATTGTATCTTCTGTGATTTATTATTATTATTATTATTGCTTTGTACGCTGTCTAAGCCTTAGCAAATACGTAATTCCGCCATAAGAAAGGTCGAAAAAGCTGGGTGACCCAACGATCGAGCCAGGTGCGGCCCAGGAGTTTGTGAAACGTAGACTAGAAAGGGTGCAACACGTCAACAAACGGAAGTCGGAAATTGAGAGGTGAAAGGCTGGCCTTGCCGCGACTGTCAACCAGGTCTATTGGACTTCCGGGTTGAGAGCACATGGAAGTAAGCTCTAAGAAAGGTGTTGACAGATTTCCTTCAAGTGACGAGACATTAACATTAAAGGAGTTATAAACTTGTGAGGCGTAGAGCTAAAACAACTTTTTCCGGACCCAAGTAACTCATATCCATGACAATGTAATATGAAATAGGAACGCAACGCTTTGAGATGCGTAAGCAGCAAAGTACGGAGACCCGAAACCACGAGCATCAATTTGCCCTTTAGGTTGACTGCGATCAAAAATGGGCGAACCAAAGGGTATTCGCTCTGTTTTAGACGACCCAGAACAATTAACGGAAACAGCCAAAAGCAGCTCAAGAGAAAACGGAGAAATAGATATTGCGGTAAAAGCGCTTATTACAAGAGGACTTGCTGGGTTCATATAATGATTGTCTGAGCGAGAGTTTGATTCAGGTATAGTCGTTCCTATAATTACTTCTTATAGCTCATCTATGAACGAAGGTTTAGTTTAAACAACTTACCGTAAATTCGCATTTCTTTTTCCCCGCGCACGGTTTGATACGAAGGCCCCTCTGTCGATACCTCACATCCGTATACGCCCTCTGAGTTGATATCTGTTCGAGAAAGGTACACGACGTTTTTCGTCGATTTCGCCGGCTGGAACATAAAAAGGACGAAAACAACAGGACATACAATCTGTTCTTAGAACTAAATAGCCTTAGGGAAATTTGAATGGTTGCCATTTTATATCGAACTGACACTTCATTGTGCGCCAGCCAGGGGCAAGCAGGATATGGAGCACCAAAATACAGAAAACTGTATCTAATACTTCAAGGTTATCACCTGACAGGGATGCGTGGGGGTGTGCACCAAACATAGTCGGCCATCATAACGCAAAGCCACACCTTGATAGGCATCAAGTGCAAGCCGGATTCGAGGCAACAATAAAGTCTAATAGCTTCTCCAACTAAATAATTATATTAAAAAATAAAATAAAAAATTACTTCAAATACTCTATTGGCCACATCTATACAGTACATACGAAATAATACCGTGTGATCATCACAGGGGTCTCTTTTTTTTTTTTCGCACAGCATTACGGCACGCTCTATGCTATAACAATAGACTTGACTCCATTTCAACTATAACATTTATCGAGTTTTTATTAGCTTGTTGAACGTTCTAACCAGCCGTTCATTACTGAATTGACAAAACCCCGTCGTTGTATTCTGAACCAACCATCCCCTCCGTACTACATAATCCAACAACCATTTTGGCTGTCGCCAAGTTCGTTGTAGCTACCCGATTTCAACGGACTGTTACGTTTCAGCCGTTGATTTAAGCCTGTTTGCCCAGCTGTTCATCCATATGTGCACCGAATGACAGTGGTCAATGCTGTTCTAGCCCTGCCACGTTCTCAAGGAGCAATTCAAGTTGAACTTAGGGGGGGGGGGGGGGGGGGGGGTCTATGGTTCAGGGAAAGTGTTCGAAGGTAGGATTTCGGTTACCGAACGCGTAAGCAATTCCACAAAATTCTCCAGCAAGCCATGAGTGAGTACGCACTTGTTTCATATTGGCCGTACGTCGTGCCAAAGTATGTGTTCATTGTTATTGCCCTATCGTCCCTGAACAACAACGGAGAAGCTTCTATATTGCTTTAGGTTTTTGAACGATACGAACTGACAACCATCTTTGCCGTATATCCATCTATCCGTCGATCGGACTCACCTTTCCGTGCTCCCTTTGAAATGAAGCTCGAAAGGCTTACCATTATTTAGTAAACGCAGCGAATGAGAGACAGAGTAAACGGCACAGAGGGCTTCAGAGCGCGACGGAGTAGATCAGATGAAACCGTTTGACGAAGCCAGTATACATATGTATCGTACAGTAGGAAATCATTTTAGCTGCGAAACCTATTCAAGTAGCCATCCGAGTATCGGAACGACCGTTCCGCTGTAGGAGCGTATGAGCATCAGATCGAGCGATGTACATTGAACTTCTTCCGAAAGCGAAGCAGAAAAATATGGCACGGTATAGGTACCAGCGCCATAGTGGATATGGCCTCTGTGGTGGTAATCAGAGCAGGCTTTTATCTATGTTGCTGGCCGTAGAGATGTTAGTACGAATAACGTCCAAAGTGTGATTGCTATTGGGAACGTTCTTGCCAGCTAGTTATCAATGGCGGTACGATAAGCGTCAACTAAATTCAACCATCATCAGTGACATGAGATGCAACATTCAAAATTCTTATAGTTTTGTCGTTCAGTGATCTGCACCAAATTTGATTTCTTAGTCACAGGACGTAGCTTCCGTCTCGTGTTTATCACTGAGCCAATTAAGCAATGTATGATTCAATAGTATTACCTAACAATGTCACAAACGCAATACATCTTTTTGACAACAATAAAATCATAGATGTTTGTAAAAGTCAGGAATAGTCCAGGATGTGTCTCCTAGTCACATGCTCAACGATGCAATCAATGTTGACTTTTTTTCTGCCGCTAGCGAACGACTCCTTGAAGCGATCTATTCTTCTTCGTGTTGTGCACAACCTGCGGGTTCCCTAAAGATCTTCTTGGAACACCCAACCCCGCACCTTGCTATAGTTTATTCGTGCCACCGACTATTAAATAGCAAATCCGCTCGTGCGGCTAGTGCGAGGTAATCCGAGGTAAAGCGTGTGTGTGCGTCCCAGGGAAATCATGGAACAGTCGTAGAGACAACGCACTTCCTGTGCTGTGTGTCAGTGGACAATATCGCGTGTAGGCTTAAAGCTAGACGAACTTACAGCGCCTTGAATACTCACCGCTGATCCTGGCTATGTGAAGCGTTTCTGTAATGACTAACTAATGTAAAATGGTTATGCTGTTATACGGGAAAAGTCGGCGTGGTCAAGTGTGAGCCGACCGACGTTTCTGGGTCGACAACGGAAAAACCCGGCATTATACCTTCCTATAGTTATAACTCACTCTAGACTGAAATGTAGGCAGTGACGGGGGAAAGGTAATAAAGAACATCAAGTCGAGATAAATAAAAACGTATCTCGTCAAATCTTTGCTTCCGCGTATTTACTAGGTTCGATATCAGTGTTGCGTATGCATGTTGGAACAAGACAAATCGGCACGCACCAAGATTCCAATTTTGTCATCTCGGTTCTGTTGGAACTCACAAGCAGATTCGCTATGCGTCAGTCTGTCTCTCGATGTAATTGTATGTAAGTTGATGCATTGGTTCCTGTGGTCTTTATCGTCACTATTAAGCTATTCCCTGCATGGCGTCTCATTTCCATGGCCATCCATGAGACATCACGGGGAACCGAGTCTGCCATGAATTGCCAATGGCTTGGGGCCATGTTATCTGACCGTTCAACAGTCTACGATATTAGCAAGCGACGCAAGCCACAATAGAGGCCTGCATCAACATTTACGCTGTCGTCTAACATTACTAGACCGAAATTCGTTTTGAGGTGTAATGTGCCGGACCTCTAGATTTCAGGTTTTACCTGGGTATGGCCGTCAGCAGGGGTATGCCATCAGAGAGCTAACTCCCATCTAGAAGTGAACCTATGTTATGTGTCTATGCTTAGATTCGAAGCTAGACCACAACGTGCCCTCAGATTAGCAGGCAAATACGTTACTTACAGTGCTATAACGGGTCTGATGCTTCTGACCTAGTCAAAATCAATATTACACACCCATATGCATATCCGTAGAACCTCCCACGGGAAGCTACTGGCTACTTCTATGGTTGTTACGTAACCAATCGATATAAGTACGTAATATTTGTAATACGCGCTGGGTTGTAATACGGCCTGCGACTGCCCTAAAACCGGTATTTCCAAATGTTCAAGTGGGCCGTAAGGAAACTACCCAAGGAATAGGTACTTGATAAATGTAAACAGCTAAAAGTTGGTCCTGCGAAAAGGACTGCTGTGAGAAAAATTTCCGCTTCCCAAAATGTGGGGTACTCACCGTAATATCCCATCAAAATGACAAAAATGATGTTATTATTAGCCTTTCAAAATACGCTGACATACGTCACTCAAAAATGATGGCGCTTTACAGTCAGCAAAATGCGTGAGCTTTCAGCTTAATTCATAACTTCAATGAAGTTTAGGAAGGGATTTCCATTTTTTTCAGAGTAAATACATTCTATGTTTAATAAGTTAGTTGGATAATGATCTTTGAGGACCAAGATTAGCCTCAAGTCGCTAGGTCAGCGACGAAACAATGTAAACCTATAACTATAAGACAGAGGCGGTATAAACTGGAGTCGTATAATCCTATAACTATTCTGTATAAACTAGCATTTTTTCGTGTATTGTCCAAATTTCACAAATAGGAATCATACATGCAATGTTGTTATACCTTTATAAACAAAATCACGTTTGACAGCGAAAAAGCACGCTGATCATAATACATTTATTTCCTCCTATCAACTAATGTTTTTCATCATATCACCTAGCGTATCGCAACCTAACCTCTGAAGTCTTATACATATGTAAGGTATAACCTAGCCACCACCTCAGATTCCCACGGCAATTATACAGCCACTCACGTGCATGGAGCACCGCTTGGCCAGGGGCGACTAGCCTCTTCGCCCAGAAAGCACACTGACCGACCGACAAACTAAAGGCATCGGTGTCCGGGCCAAAAGTAGCTGTCTTGCGTTAATCTGTCTGCTGCCACACATCCTTTACGGGAACTCGGCGCCATTTACGGTCGCACCTTTGCCCCTGCCTATACTATTGTAAATGGTATCAACTACAAGCCTACGATGACTAGGGTTACGGCGGCAGCCTAAGTGCCGTGAAGCCCGGCCAGAGAACTACATGATGGTTATTCATGAATCATTATGGAGTCCATGGCGACAGCTCCCACAAACGCCGCCGTGCAGCGGCAGTGGTAAGTTGTGGGGAGAGAGATTTACGCCAGCGATGGCCATATATACCTGTATAATGATGTCTTACTTTTTCACAAGCTCTTTTTTTCGATATCATTTATCTCTATCTGTATTGCTCAACATAGGGACATTTACTGCTCGACATGAGATGATGTAAATCAGCTGAACGGGTTACGACCGTTCCGGTGCGCGAGAACCTGTTGAAGATTTACTTTCTGCTGTTGAGATTGTCGGACTGGGGATCTCGCTTGGTAGAGCTGTCAGCACAGAGCAATCTGAGACCTTTTACCAGGTCTGCCATTGCCTATCTGTTTGACCCACCATTGACCACCCTCACATATCTCTCTGCTTCCCTTTGCTCTGTGCTCGTGCTGTTATTTCGGACTTCCGTTACGATAGCCTGGTCTAGTCTGAGTCGATTCTGCTGGCAGCTGTTGCCTGCCATTTGGCTCCGATCAGGATGATCAAATCATGAATAATGCAATAACCAGATCCGCAGCCAGCATTCGCAACGGCGAAGTTGGTCAGAGCGCTCCGCCAGTGACCAGACCGAATGAATAACCAGTCCATAGTTTTAGATGCTAGGCAGGTAATAGGGGGGTGAATGAGTTCCGTTAGCTTGGCTTGGTCACTTGACAACACCCTATAGCCACCCATGTCAGCTACCGGTATATTGAATGTCTTAACGCCCTGAGTCTCTCCCCGGTACTGCTCTATCTTTAGTAACGCGTTCGCACAATAAGCGCAGTTGTCAT